ATAATATTGTGTATTTTAAATTTATTTTATTATATAATATATATTATATAATGAAATATATTATATTACATAAATGTATATTATATATAATATAATAATGTATTTTTTATTTAGTTTATTATATACATTTATATAAAACAATATAGTATATTAAACATTCTATTTTATATTTATTCTATTAATATATTTTTATTATATAATATTATAAATATCTATTATATAAATAAAATATGATATATAATAAAATATATTATATATTATACAAAAATATATATAATATATACATATATCATATATAACGTAATGTAAAATATAATATAGTGAATTTTATATTTATTTTATTGATATATATTTGTATAATATAAGATATATTATGTCGTGAATTATTTTATTAATCTTTATTTTATTATATAATATATATATAATTAATATATATATATATTATAAATAAAATATAAAATATAATAAAATATATTATATAATTTATTGTATATTATACAATAAAATATATACATTTTATATATGTGGGGGGTTGGCGAGGGGAGTCATAAAAAAAAAGTTCCAAATTTAAGTTCCAACCCTTGGGTTGGAACTTTTTTTTTTAAGCAAGATTGGAACTTGAACAGTTCCTTGAAGTTTTGTTTGAAGTTCAAGTTTTGTATCAAACACGAAACTTGAACAGTATTAAGAAGTTCTAAACTTCCAGGAAGACACTACCTGTTATCAAACACGTCCAAAGGGAAAGCTTTCTATACTTCCCTGACCATCTATAAATTATGTATTTCGTCCCCTCCAACCATCTAATATGAATGGACCACTAAGATCGTCTTAATCACAATGGTATGTTTGTACACTATTTTATTTTTAAGCTTTTTCTACAAAACATTTTGACACCAAATTTTAGGTGTCCACTCTTCTCTTGAACTCACACTTGCAAAAAAAATGTAAAAATAATATTCTCATAAAATAAAATAACCAAAATACTCCTAAAAGTTTATGAGATATTCTTGACGGTCAGGAAGTACAAAAAAGACCGCATTTTCAATATTTTGGGTCGATAATCCAAGACAATAGAGAGATTGAGGAAGATGTCGTACACAAAATTAGAGATGGGTGGGCAAAGTAGAGATGTGCAACTGGAATTTTATGTGATCGTCGCATACCAATGAGGCTGAAGGGCAAATTCTATAAGACATTAGTGAGACCGACTTTGCTCTATGGGACGGAATGTTGGGTGGACGAAAAACAATATACCTATTGTATGAGTGTAGTGGAGATGATGATCTTGGGATGGATGAGTGGCAAGACAAGAAGGGATAGAATTCGCAATGAATCTATTCGAGAGAATTTAAGTGTGGCACCAATAGGCGATAAAATGAGAGAGAGTAGACTTAGGTGGGCTGGCAATGTATGACGCTGACCAAGTACAACACCTGTTAGAAGGTGCGAATTAGTTGAAGTGGAAAGACTGGAAAGGGCAAAAGATAAGCCCAAAAAGATGTGGTTGAAAGTAGTCCGAAAATATATGGGAACTTATGGCCTTACTGAGGATAAGGTTTTTAATAGAGCAGAATAGAGAACCAAGATTTATATAGTTGACCGTAATTAATTAAGAAAGGCTAAAATGATGATGATGATATTTTTTCAAAAATATTCTTGTTTTTAGCATGTACTAAATTTCATGTTCATATTATTTATGGAAAAAATTAAAAAGAAAATATTCTATCAAACGATCAAAGGTTGACTTGTGACTTTTGAAGACAAGTAACCTCAGTAGTCCATTTAATTACGACATGGGGGGTGGAGTATATAACTTAAATCTAGTAGTGGAAGTATAGAAAGCTTTTCCCATTTTAAAAAAGCTATTCCATTTCGCATTTTAATTTTTCCTTTTCTTCGTGCACTTGAAATTTTCACAAGGAAAACAAAAAAATTAAGTACATCCCCAAGTTACAAATAAAGGATAAATCATTGGCTTAACAAAATAAAATAAAATAATAATAATAATAATAAGAAAGGTAGAAAATGAGGACAGTTCTTGGTCAAAA